ATTTTGCCTCTTTCTGCAAGATAGAAAAAAAAATCTGTTGGTATTATGTCTGTTCTGCTGTTCAGTATTGCCTGATACTTTAAGTTCTTTATTTCTGGATTTCATCCAAATAACAGATCCGAAAGAAATAACAGTGTTGTTTTGTGTTTTGCTAAAATATTCTTACTTATCAAGATCTTCAAGTTGAGCAGTCTTTTAAAAACATTGGCCTGAAGGCACTCCTCCTTAGTTATACTTACTGTCTAACAGGAGAAATGAAGATTTAACTGTCTGTGTTCTTCAGTGTGTTTAAATTTATGGGCACTTTCCACCTTTATAGGACATTACACATATTCTTGCCCAAACAAGAAAGCCACATGTAGCTTCATCTTAAGAGCCAGAAGCTAATATCCTGTCCTGGAACAATAAAAAATAAATAATCAATTTGTTATATCCTCAAGCTCAATGTTCCACTTTCAGTAGACAATAGATGAAATACATCAACAAAGGTTTAGATTTGTAATGTCCAACTGTACACAGATATTTAGTGTATTAATTAAAATTGGGAAAATCCAACTTCGAATTAGGAATTGCGGTGAATTTCATGAGTGTTATGTATTCTGGATCTCAATCTTGTTTCAAGGACCTTGTAGAACAGAGGTGTCAAAATGGATTTCTTCAAGGGCCAGATCAGCTTTGTAATTCTCCATGGGCCAGCGGGGGGAGGAGCGGGGGGAGATGGGATGGACACCTCCTGCAACACCCTGCCATCCAAAATAGGCCATGCAGGGATTCATGGGGCCTCTGTGGGGCCTGTTTTTGGCTAGCAGAGTGCTGCTGGAAGCCAGAGAGGCAAAAAAAGGGTTGCACAGGGGCCTCGCAGCGCTTCCAGGCAGCCTATTTTTGGCCATCAGAGTGCTGCAGGAGGCCGTGGAGGCCAAAAATAGGCTGTGGGGCCCGCATGGCCCATTTTGACTGACAAGAGGCACCACAGGCTGGTCCTTTGACATTTCCAGGCTGGGGCTGTGGAACAGATTTAAGCACCCCACAGACCTTGAGTTTAACACCCCTGATCTAGAACAACAGAATCAATTCAGGAGATATTTTATTACACAGAACTATTATTGATATTCCTTTATTATGTATTTAGTTATAATTAAATGATTATTCTTTTAGATTAAATATATTATAGAGTTTAAGTTGCCATACATGGCAGACAGAGTTCCTTTAGAATTAAAATTAGACCACTCAACAATTCACTATGAAAGTTGCTAAAGTTGCCTACACCTAAACAAAAGGTTAGATCAGTGAGACCAAACCTTTTGTGAAACATTCCGAAAATGCCTAATTTGACTCTGCTGGAAAATCACAACCAATGTGGTGACACATATGTCATAGGTTTGATATCACCGGGTAAGATACAGAAAGTTCTAATTCTGCTTTTGAAGAACAAAGCATTCATGAAATAATTTATCAGTTTTACTCCTTCCCCCATTGAGATCTCAGGGATTTTGGTAGCTACTTAGTTTTGACAACAACAAAAAGGAACAATTAAATTGCCACTAAGTTCAGCCCTTCGCAAGAACCATTTCTCATTATCAATCTGTGTGATTAAGCAAATAGTCTCCTGGGTGTAGATGTCAGGACCTAAGAACATTTCTACGCAAACCTTGACTTCCACCAGAGAGTTTTAATTCTTCTATTATCATTGATGCTCTAAAGAAAAATGTTTTCAAATACACCCAGGAATACGCAAACTCTCATCCGTCACGGTTATAGTAACCTGTTTGGTTTTATGTTTAATTGATCCCAATGATCAATGCTCACTCTCCACTCTCTCACATTAGGAAAATAAAAATCTAATACTAAGATGCATGTTAGGAAGAAACTGTCCAGGCGAAGGTTCTTTCTCATGTTCTAATTTTGATGGGGGAATTCTTACAAGCAAATTATTAAACAGCTTTTTTTAATGAATAAAAGTTCATATATTTTATTTCCCTCTCTTCCATTTCTCTCCCAAAAATCAAAATTGATACAATCCAGCAACACCTAGGAAACATATTCATACAAAAGTAGAGTATGGCTGTTTTCACATATAATACAAAATCATATGATTCATCTGATTTGGGGTTGGTATATTGTAGTAACTCAACAGTTCTGATTAGCAAATTATGATTGGAGTTTCAGATACTTTGAAAAATAGCTTGACCCCCCCTCCTCTCTTAGCAGCCCTCAAGTATCGGAACACTACTATCATGTCTCCCCTGGTCCTTCTCTTCACTAGACTAGCCATGCCCAGTTCCTGCAACCATTCATCATATGTTTTAGCCTCCAGTCCCCTAATCATCTTGGTTGCATTTCTCAATTCTATGCTAAATTCTATGCTTGACTCGATCTTTGGCAACAACTTCCCTGAAGGACTCTTTACTCTCAACTAGCAACCATTTTGAGCAATGAAACATAGCTTTGTACTGAGAGACCATATGTGGAAATAAAGAACTCACAGGTGTTCTGTTTATTGCATTACCACTATTGTGCATCATTGGCATTCTTTGTATTATGAATTTGTGAAGTTATGTGTCTGTCCTATAGCTGGTGGTGAAGGAGAGTCATACTGAATATATATAAGGTCTGGGTTCTGGTCTGTTTAATCCTAGCCAAATAGTCCATCAAAGTCATTTCTGATTTTGGGGGGGAAATTAGAATACATCCTCCAAAATGACCAGCCACCTTTCAATGATTTAGATGCATTATCCTGCTATGACTGTTCTATTGTATCTGTGGTCTTTCTATTAACTATTTGATTATTGCTGCATAGAAAAATATGCATAAAGCAACTCTGCTTTTCCTTTTGTCTTACAAGCATAAGGATGCAGATAAGAGGTGTTAAAGGAAAGAGTGTTAAATCAGTGGTTGGATTCAAAAATTTTTAGTACCAGTTCTGTGGGCATGGCTTGGTGGGCATGGCAGGGGAAGGATACTGTAAAATCTCCAGTCAGAGGTGATTTTTGCTGGTTCTCTGAACTACTCAACATTTCTCCTATCAGTTCTCCAGAACTGGACAGAAGCTGCTGAATACCCACCTCTGTGTTAAATATAAAAGAAATATCTCCTCATTTTCAAAAGCCCTATTTTGATGTAATGATGGAGTATGCTAAACTAAGAATGTCTCCAGAAATTCCTTTATCTTCTTTAGGTTTTGAAGCTGAGATGCAGTGTTTTTACATTGGTTATTGAGTAATCACAGGAACTCTGTTACTTAACTGTAAACTATGGTTTTAAAGTCATAATGGCTTTGTTCACACACACACACACACACACACACACACACAGAGAGAGAGAGAGAGAGAGAGAGAGAGAGAGAGAGAAATACAAGCTATAATTCAAAGCAATCTTTGACAATTTGCTATCTTGTCCCTTGTAAATAAAGCTATATACAAAATTGTTGAATGTAAATATTTAAGAGCCAGTCAAGGATAACTGTCATATAGCATTAAGAAATAATATTATATGGGGATACCATTCTTTAAATAGGATCCCCTTATTACAATAAAGGTTTTATTTTAAAAAATAATAGTTCATTTTTAAAAATATTAGACATAAAATTATATCCTGAAGATGAAACTTTAATTTAACTATGTGAATCATTTCCTTTCAAATTTACATAAAACAAAAGAAGGTACTGCTAGTTTTCAGGCTTAAAAAGATATACACAAAGTCCAAATTTCCATGGGAAAATTATGTTTTCCATTGTTCTATTTTGTTCTTGGTTTTATATTGTAAATTTTTATATTCATGCACTTTACGATTTTAACCTTTGCTTCATGAAAAACAGCCAGTAAATAAATGAACTCTGGGTTTTAATAAGACAACTAATATATGATAGCAAAGATTTAGCATTTCTGTGTCTCTAAATGTTTGTCTTGTTTGGATTAATATATTATCACATTTGGATTTTTTTACAATAATTTTTCTTGCTGAATATGTTTATATACACAAAGAGTCAACTGTGATTCTTTTGATGGAGTTATTTCATGGAGACAGTTCTTTGGATCCAATATAAAAGTGCTGCTTTTTTAAAGTTAAAATAAAATGTTTTCTTCAAAATGTGGTTTTAATTTTTTTTTAGGATTGCTAGACACATTTACCTCCATAGTTTTTACTGAATGCAAAGTAACTTTCGCTTTCATGAATCAAACCAGGATAGCCAACAATTGTTGGCCAAATTTTGTATTGATATGTGTAATTCTTTAATATGTATTACCAATATCAATATCAATCAATTCTTTCAACAAGAGATATAAAGTATTCTATAAAGTTAAATTGTTTGTGGATTAAAGTCTCCTTTTGAGAACTAGAAATTCAAAATTTGGTTGAATGTGAGTATATTTTCCATAATGCACTTGCGTAAATGTGATGTTTTCTTTTTCACTTAAATATATAATTAAAAGTACAACAAATAGTGTCAGGATCAGTGGTGGATTTTACTACCAGTTCTGTGGGCGTAGTTTGGTGGGCATGGCTTGGTGGGCATGGTAGGGAAGGATACTACAAAATCTCCATTCCCATCCCACTCCAGGGGAAGGATACTGTAAAATCCACATTCCCTCCCCACCTCTGGGGGAAGGTTACTGCAAAATCCCATTCCCTCCCCACCCCACTAACCTGCTTTCCAGCTCAGTTCTCCTGAGCAGGGCAACAAAAGAAGACCCAGCCGATCAGCTGGGACTCGGGAGGCAGAGAATAGATGGGGGCGGGGCTAGTCAGAGGTGATATTTGCCGGTTCTCTGAATTACTCAAAATTTCTGCTACCGGTTCTCCAGAACTGGTCAAGAACCTGCTAAATACCACCTCTGGTCAGAATAATCCAGAATAATGCATCGATGTTGAGAATCTAGTATTGAATGCTATATCTATTCATGCTGAATATGTATTGTTTTCTAAACTCTGCTTTATCGAAGTAATCAAATAAAATTGGTAGTTGCTTCACTATTTTCAAGTGAACACTTTTTTTTTGGTAGGTTGACTGGCATGAATCTACCTTCACCTGTTATCAGCAGTAAAAACTGGTTACGGCTCCATTTCACTTCTGACAGTAATCACAGACGGAAAGGATTTAATGCTCAGTTCCAAGGTAAGAATTCCATAGAACTCTATCAGGAAAAAGAATCTGTTTTTTCTAAACCTGATAAAATAAATGTTGAGACTGAAATGCTCTCCTTTGTAGTTATCCACCTGGGAAATAAACAGATCCTTGCAAACATGGACGGACAACCATTTTCACTCCAAAAGTGGAATCCAGTTGAGATTTGTTTAAGACCCCTGGGATTTCTGCAGTATTTCTTTTAAAAATTAATCCCTGTGACATAGCCATTATGTCCTTTTTGGGGCCTTTTTGTGTGAAGCTTGCAAACCTCTTGGCAGATCATAGAGGTACAAGGCAGAAATGGTTAGAACGAAGTCTCTTCAGATAAAACATTATTTCTTATTTTTCCAAATTTCCTCGTTATTCTTGACAGCAAGAATAATGTTTGTTTCTATTTGTTCCCTCTACATGAGAGGGGATTGGGAATCTGAACTCAGTCAATAGTACAATGACTTGGTGCTTTTGATTTCTTTATTCCATTTATCTCTGCTGAAATACGAAATAAACTTAATAAAATGTAGCGTATTTTGGAAAGAACGTTTATGAAGACTGGTATAAAATGACAAATTCCATACCATTTATGTGAAAGACTTTCAAATGCATGTAGACAACTGCACAATAGCAGATTAAGCAAGATATTAAACTGAGAAATATAGATCCTGTTTTGCTTTATATACCAAAACAAATTGATTTCAGTGTGGTTAGAAAAAGGAATTAGATAATTTCCCATGAATTACTTGGTATTTCAAACCACTATTCTAAAAATTATTTTTTTTAAAAAAAGGGTAGAAAAGCCAGTCGTTGGCATCAAAATAACTGATTTGGAGGATTGAGAACTGACAATGAGGAAGCTGGAACAGATATTGAAATATGAAAATGGCCTGAATAAGAGGATTTGGGACAACAAATTATTTGGATTTTTTTAAAAAAATATGCTACATATTTTATGTAATGAACAGGTTTATGCATCTTACTAAAACCGTGGCTTAAGCAAGATGTCAGGATTCTGATATGCACCCCCATTCAAATCATAAGTCTCTAGCCGCATCTCTCAGAGTAAAAAAGATTGATTTATTAGGAGTTGACATGTCGGCGTTTCCCAGTTGCAGCCGACTCTGATACATCATTCATTTAACCCTTGACCCTGGTCTTCCCTCCACCGCCTGAATGTATATTCTCCAATGAGACACATCCATAGCCAAGAGTCATCAATCATGCTCTCCGGTAATAATTTTGCGCGCCAGACGCTTCAGCTGCCAAAGCAATTGTTTGAAGCATTTGAGGAATGCACTGCTTTCTCCCACTCCCTTTCTGCTGGCAACTAAAAAGACCAAGGATTTTTTTTTTTTTAGTTGACACAAGATTTATTGAATAGACTGCAGTTGGATGGCTTCATACACAATAATGTCCTAAACCATGGTTGACAATATAAAACATCTGAATAATGGATCAATGTAAAAGGAACAAGCCACATATCATGATGCAGAAACCAAACTGAACCAAATACAATCAACTTATAATCACAATTGAACTCAAAATTTCTGTTGCTATATGAGATGGTTGTAAAGTCAGTTTTGCCCCATTTTACATCCGTTCTTTCCACAATCATTAAGCGAATCACTGCAGTTGTTAAGTTAGTGACACAGTTCTTAAGTGAATCTGGCTTTCCCACTGACATTGCTTCTGAGAAGGTCACAAAAGTTAATCGCATGACCCTGGAACACGGCAGCTGTCATAAATATGAGATTGCTTTTGAATTTTGGTCATGTGACCATGCAATTGCCGCAATGAGTAAAAGAATGAAAAACGTTCATGGCACTTTTTTCAGTATCATCATAATTTCAAACAGTCACTAAATGAATGGTTGTAAGTGGAGGACTACCTATAATTACAGTAACTTTTCATTATATTGGGGAATATAAGTTCAGTACTTTTGCTCTTCATATAGATCTACAATATGCAAGCAGAAGTTTTATGGATTTTCCTCAAAAGAGAAATTTATTCCTCAGAATCAACTTTTGTGATTAATTTAGTGAGAAAATTAGAAACAAAGCAAATGCTTCCATAGATAGTTTCAAAATGTCTATAATTCCAACTTTTTGTTAAAAAAAAAAGTCAACTTTTTTAAACAGAAGATTCCAAATTTTGTTTACATAGGAAGTAGTTCCTGGACTATGCTCGAAACAAGAAAATTTAACCTGCCTTTTTTCTTTCTGAAATCTACAACTTAAATGCAGGAAAAAAAAAAGACCTTTTTAAAACCACAGTCATGTTTTATTGAAAGTTAAAAACACATTTTCTTCCAAAACTTTTGATGCATACTTTTTTCTTTGTCTGAAATTTAAATTCATTTGCATGTTTTTTACAGTTTAATTGGAAAATCATAAGTGAGCACAGGTTTTTTTTTCTCTGAAAAAGGACAGAATTTAGTTAAAAAAATTAAAACCTTTAAATTCCTGTGTGCATAAGGTTTAATTATAGGTCTGCAGCTGGGCAGAGATAATTCAGATGTTGCAATAGTGAAGTGACCAGTTGGTCAATTCCTGTCACAACTGATCAACACTCAGTTGATTTTTTAAAAAAAAAGCCAGGAAGAAAAATAATATTTTAAAATTCAATAAGAGAAGATCAACATCTTCCTGTAGCTGATCAGATTAACAGTTTGACTTTGCTTCCTTTTCAAACTACCAGGCAATTCAGCCTCATCTCTAAAAAAGTGAATTAGTGTCCTCCTCAACATATGAAGCCTGTCATTTCAATACAAGTATTTTCTCTGAGCCATAATTTATCCAGCTTGCCATAAAAATATTTATGTTGATCTAAAGGGCATGGAGTCTGGAAAATCTACAGCAGAAGCATTTAATGAGCTGTTTCAGCTTCTTCTTGGTCACATGGATAACCTATTAGACAATGATGGAGGATTTTTATCATACTATCTTTCAGAATCACTGTCATGTTAATATTTTGAGGCTTTGCAGTTTCTAAAATAATGCAAAGTAAAATAAAATTAAGCAAAGCACGCTCACCAAACAGGTTGTTATACCGGTTGAATTGCACCCCTGACTTCATGTATTTCAAATGTAGTCAAAACAGAGGGTTTTCCTATACACACACACACACACACACACACACACACACACACACACATACACACATACACATACACATACACATACATACAAACAAGTAGAAGATTATGTTAATCATTCACTTTAGGCCTGACGAGAAGCCTTTCCTAAGGAAATAATCTAATAACATGTTATGTCCAGTAGGATTATGTCCAGTAGTGAGATCTGAAATATATGTATATTTAATTGTCAGATGTCCAGAGTCATTTACTGAGATGGGCAGCTATGGAAATTGAATAAATACATGAATCTGCACTACATGAGTTTTGATTATTTCCTTTGATGACATCACTGATTACCATTCATTAGATTTTTATCCCATTTTTTTCATTTTTAGTTTACAGTGTACATACCTGATGTTCCCTCCTACTTGCCTCTGAACAACCCTGTGAGATGAGTTGGGCTGAGGGAGACTGACTGGCCCAAAGTTACCCAATTGGCTTTCATGGCTAAAACAGGACTAGAACTCACAGTCTCCTGGTTTCTAGCTGAGCACCATAGCCACTACACCAAACTAATTCTTTTTTCAGGATTTGTAGATTATAAAATTATACCAAACTGACTCCCTTATAATCTGATAGATTATAAATTATATTTATTTATAGATTATACATGGGTATACAGTACATTAAACTACTTTCACATCACTGTAAAAAAAATGGCATTTATCTTCCAGGGAGCAGACCTAAGGCGGAACCATTAAAATGGATAAGATTAAAATGATGATTGAAGGAAATAGAACATTTCCAATTAATTTTTATGGGCATCTTAATGAATTTTTATATATTGAAGTAGCACCTCTGACTGATAGTCCTGTTGATTATCTGTAATAACAAAATCACTTTGTGTAAGCCATTAGTCTGAAGTGTTTAGCGAACTCTATGGACTGTTAGTTTCCTTGAAGTCACATGGTTAAAATTATCTGAAACCACATGCAGGGCTTCTTCGTAAAGCTTGTTCTTGTTGAAGATTTAGATTTTATGAGATGACAAATATCTAAAATGGAAGGCTTGACATGTTTATAAGTACTGAAAAACAGGTGGACCAAGTCACTGAAATGACATAATTAGACAATCACCCATCTAGAAGATATATCAATAACCCTTTCCTTTTTTGTTACTTTTTTGTTAGCACATAGGCCATACCGAAATACAAAATAAAATATTCAGAATAAAATATAAAACATGCTACAATAGAACTACATGTAAAAGTGAAGTACAAAAACAAATTAAATAAAAAGGGATAAACAAGGAATTACAATATTATCCCTCCAATTTACCCCAGTCAGACCCAAATGTGTAGATCTCATCTAGATTGTTTTATTCTGACAAAGGACTCTGAATCTGATGTTTGAGTTTTGATTGCACATGAAGTATGTAGTTTTAACACATTGAGAGCTTCTTCACCGAAGACAAATACCTTGTGTGTCTAATCACACTTGGCCAAGTTTTCAATTCAATATGAGGATCCCAATAGTTTGTTCATCTAATGCAGGGGTGTCAAACTCAAGACCCAGGAGCCAGATCCAGCCCGCTGAGATCTGGCTCGCAGGCCACCCTGAAAACAGCAAAGAAGTGGCCTGCAGTGCCTCTGTCAGAAAAAATGGACCTCTGGAGGGCCACGTGTGGTCTGCCCAGGCTCAGCTGAAACGGCCTTGTACAGCCCTCTTCCGGTGAAAATGGAGCCCGGGCAGGCTACACATGGCTTCCTTGAGCTCTGTTTTCGCTGGCAGAGAGTTGCAGGAGGCCATCGCGGTCAAAAAAAAGAGCCTTGATAAGGGATGTCAAGCTGGGCACACCTACTCTAGTCATCCCCCTGCCCATGCCCACCACCACCCTGGCCCCTCAAGGTCAAACACAA